CTACCTGACATCAAACTACACTACAAGGCTACAGTAACCAAAACAGCTTGGTACTGGTACCAAAACAGAGATAGAGACCAATGGAACAGAACAGAGACCTCAGAAATAACACCATACATCTACAACCATTTGATGTTTGACGAACCTGATGAAAACAAGCAACAGGGAAAGGATAACCTATTTAATAAATAGTATTGGGGAAACTGGCTAGTCATATGCAGAAAACTGAAACTGGACCCTTTCCTTAAACCTATACAAAAATTATCTCAAGATGGATTAAAGATTTAAACCTGAGACCTACAACTATAAAAACCCTAAAAGAAAACCTAGGCAATGCCATTCAGGACATAGGCATAGGCAAAAACTTCATGACTAAAATACCAAAAGCAATGGCAACAAAAGCCAAAATTGACAAATGGGATCTAATTAAACTAAAGAGCTTCTGCACAGCAAAAGAAACTATCATTAGAGTGAACAGGCAATCTACAGAATGGGAAAAAAATTTTGCAATCTATCCATCTGACAAAGGGCTAATATCCAGAATCTACAAGGCACTTAAACAAATTAACAAGAAAGAACCTCATCAAAAAGTAGGCAAAGGATATGAACAGACACTTCTCAAAAGAAGACATTTATGCAGCCAATAAATATATGATAAAAGCTCATCATCACTGGTAATTAGAAAAATGCAAACCAAAACCACAATGAGATACCATCTCATGCCAGTTAGAATGACAACCATTAAAACGTTAGAAAATAACAGTTGCTGGAGAGGATGTGGAGGAATAGGAATGCTTTTACACTGCTGGTAGGAATGTAAATTAGTTCAACCGTTATGGAAGATAGCGTGATGCATCCTCAAGGATCTAGAAATAGAAATACCATCTGACCCAGCAATCCCATTACTGCGTATATACCCAAAGGATTACACATCATTCTACTATAAAGACACATGCACATATATGTTTATTGCAGCACTGTTCATGATAGCAAAGACTTGGAACCAATACAAATGCCCATCAATGACAGAATGGATAAAGAAAATGTGGCACATATACACCATGGAATACTATGCAGCCATAAAAAAGAATGAGTTCATGTTCTTTGCAGGGACATGCATAAAGCTGGAAACCATCATTCTCAGCAAACTAACACAGGAATAGAAAACCAAACACCACATGTTCTCACTTATAAGCGGGAGTTGAACAATGAGAACATATGGGCACAGGGAGGGGAGCATCACACGCTGGGCCCTGTCAGAGGGTAGGGGAAAGGGGAGGAATAACATTAGGAGAAATACCTAATGTAGATGATGGGTTGATGGGTGCGGCAAACCACCGTGGCACATGTGTACCTATGTAACAAACCCGCACCTTCTGCACATGTATCCCAGAAATTAAAGTATAATTTTAAAAAACTGAAAGAAAATGTAGAGAACTACCTTAGTAGTTTCTATCATGTCCATAAAAATATAGAAAATTTTAGGAACCATAACTGATGAGGTTTAATGAATAACATGCAAAAAACATACATAGATTTTTATTTCTGTAAATCTTGCTTTATAAGAATAGTGTTCTCTAATGCTCTTATACCTATTTTCAAAATGTCATATTTTACAAGATGATTAGCTGGGTAGAAAAGCAGGGTTTTTTTTTCCCAGTTTACTTGTCTGATATGCAGATTCTCTGATCAAAACTAAAGTACCTCAAGTGGCTTCAAGTTAGGATATACAAATAGCAGGAACACTTTGTAATGGGTTTGGGAATAGCACATTCTTAAGTAGTGGACTTGCAGACTTAAATATAAAATGGCAAAGGGTACTCCCATAAATGCCTATTTCAGTCTGAGTAATAATGTGTCAAACTTACAGTGATCAAAACATCTTAATGATTGAACCTAAAGTACTGTGGGGGAAAACCATTCTCACTGAGCTCTGAAGGCAGTAGACATGAATAAAAGTCTTGCCAAGAATTATTTTGGAGGCCAAATGGTGGCTTCTGTGGTATTAATTGTCAGAGTTGAAATCAAAGTCAGTCACCTCTGAGAAAAATGGAATCCCCCAACACTGAAAATGATAGTGTGATTTTTTTTTTCCTGAGGTATGTGTAGATAATTCAAAACTGTAAGCTGGGTTTATCTTTTGGAATCTCATATCTTAAAAGAGGCTAGATCACAAGAAAACCATTCACTGCTCTCTTGCCTTCATGGACACTGGCCTTTGGAACCCAACCACCATGCTGTGAGGAAGCCCAAACAAGCCCAAGCAGAGAGACCACACTGGGAGGCCCCATATAGGTGTTCTGGCCAACTGAGCCCAGCAGAGACCCTAATCTACAGGATCCACTGCCAGGCGTGTTGAGTAGAGATACCTCCAGATGATTCCAGCACCAAGTTTTGAATCTTTCCAGCTGAGAAGCCCCAGACAGGTGGAGCAGAAATAAGCTGTCCTTGCCATGCACTGTCTGAATGACTCAGAGAATCTATGAGCATTGTTAAATAATTGTTCTATCCAGCTTAGTTCTGGGGGTAGCAATAGTAACTGCAAAAATACCTTTAAGTCTCCAAGTCCAGAGAAGCTCTGTTATAGTATCCTGACAAATCTCCAGTCTTAATCCATGATAGAGGAGAAGGAAATGCCAGCCATTTGGACTCAGAATCTAACGACTTCTTTAATGTACTTTCAGTTAATCTTATCTTTAATCACACACATACTCCCACTTCCAGGGGTCTTGGTGCTATCAATTCCTTAGCCTTTTGAGGGGTCTGCTAAATGTTTTCTCACCTTTCCCTTCTGCCAGCTCAGGACTCCACTTTCTTGGCCTCTAAGGTCCTTCCTTTAGTTTCCCAGCTTCCAGGATTTTGTTGCTGTAGTCTTCTATTTCTTTTTCCTAAGAGTTTATGCTTTTAAAAAACCATCTTATTGATATATTAATTGGATTTGTAGAGGAAATGGAATTAAATGCACATGTTCAATTTGCTATCTCCAATTAGAATTTTACCTAGAACTTTTATATCTTTTCTGGATGTTATGACTCTGTTTTCTTTTGTTTTTTAATGAAAATCAATTACTCAAGAGTACTGGATGCAAGAAGGCTTGTGCTTTATTGAAAACAGCAACAACAACAAAAACCTTTACACTCACTACCTTTTTTCAAGTCTTTTAGTTCTTTGAGATTTGTCTAAACACATGTGAGTCTGAAAGCTTCCCCTTTCTCTAATTCCAATCATCATCAAAGAGCTTTTGTGTATGGTCTGTGTTGCATATTCATAAGAAGTTATAAAAACACAGACTCATTTCTGAAGGAGAAGACAACTTAAAAATAGAAAACAATGTAGAGAAAACACAAAAACTTTAAAGAGATGCCATGATTGTAAATAATAAGTAGATTAGATGATATATTTACAGATTGAATGAGCTAAGAGTTGAGTAGGTGGTGTAGGCCATGGAGTCAAGAGAGTTGCTGTGGTCACAGCTGTTACCACTTAACGGGACCACTGACATGTCCCTTTTCACCCTGGCAGACAGGGCCTTGAAGACTGCTGTTTCTGCTGTTGGACTCTTAGGAAGTGGGAGACTTTCTCTCTCCTGTTTGCTCTGCCTTTGCAGAAAAGAAAACACTTCTTCCTGCAGTACAACCCTCCCAACCTCTTAGCTGAGTCACAGACTTTCTGTTACTTGCTGCAGGTCTTCCTCAATGTCTCCGCTGGATGGCTGCAAAGGGCTACACAGAGAAACCATTCTCCACAGTTAACTGGCACCTCCATCCCCTACTTCTAGACCTGCTAATATTGGACAGTCACTCTGCTATTTCCCTACCACATTCCAACTCATTCCAAACTCTACTTCTTTGCTATATGGGAGCCTCTCTTTCTCATTCTCTTTGGGAAAAAAAAATCATACACACACACACACACACACACACA